ACTTCAAACCCTCCATTTCTGTGCTTACATTCCCTTACAATGAACTGCTACTTTACCATACTTGTACTTATATTCCATCTGTTTTACCTTTCCTATCTTTATATTCTTTGATTTAACTGCAAACTCACCCCACTTGTCCTTTGGTTTATTAACTGTTGTCATACATCGCTACACTCCACAAGCAAGCAAGCAAGCCATAAACTGTTCTTTACAAACACCACCATAGTGTTTGGCTGCGCAGATGCGAACAGAAAAAGCAAGTGAGCTGATAGACTGGTGACTGTCGGGTGTCTTTACTTTGACCGTGACGAATGGACAAATAAACCTAGAGCGGGTCAAATTAAAATTTCAGAGGCGCGCTTGTAGTCGAAGATTTGCATATGAAACAAAACAAAACAAGTTTATCCGGCATGATGAACAAAAACGAAAAAAGCAAAGAATAGTTTAAGTACTACAATGACGACGGCGGCAGCAACTGCAACAATATCAAAGAAAGGCACGGAAACAGCAGCAGCGACAACAACTACAACCGATAACAGCAACAAGGGTGACAAAAATAACAACAACGACAGCAACAGTATCTTCCCCAACAAAGACTGAACAAGTTTTCTTTCTAAAAGCTGGAGATACAATATGGTCCGTATAAAAATACTTCCTCATCCATAAATCATGACGTCGAACTGTAAGGTTTCGTTATATTATACATGTTGAGAATGTACCTGGGGACTATGATCATTGCTTTCTGATGTCATGAATAATTATCAAAATAATGTACAAACTGACAATGGATCTACAGGGTTCCTACACCATAGCAGTTTTAGGGAAAAACTGTAAAACAGTCCAGGAGTCATGACATTTAAACGGTCAAAAACTAACACACACACATTAATGGATTATTTAAGTCAAAAGGGTGTTATAATATTTCATTTCAAGCAATAATTTTGTAGACTATTATAACATGACCCTTCAAGAAAAAGGCAAGTCGTGAAGGCAATGGGAATCAAAGCTCACGTTTACCGTCCTACGTTAAGGTGAGCAAAAAGTGGGAAAAATGTATATAGTGTTAACAAAACCCGTCGAAGCTCTCTGTGTGATAAACTCAAGCGCGCAGTCTGTTTAAACAATTCAACGTTAGAAAATCTCTAGAGAGCAAAAAAACTTAGACAAATTAAATTGTTTATTTACTAAGGGGGGTGTTGGCAGGTATAAGTCGGCTGAACTGGCTTCCGGACTCAATGACAGATGAGTCAAGGCCCATTGCTCTGAAAGCGGCCTTCAGATCAAGGTAGAGCCGATGACCACATCTTTCCCAGAAGCCCGTAGACTTGAACATGGCGAAGATAGTTTCGGGGACCCGGATTACACCCACCCGGATGCCCACAGAGCACAGCTGGTCAATCACATGCTCTAAAGCCTGAACGCCCATGACGTCAATGAAGGACACTTCCGACACGTCTAGGACCACTGACGTCACCGTGACTCCAGGCGGCCGCACCGCACTTACGACGTCATCGCTCTCCCACGCCGCGCTGTAGGTTTTGCTCAGTCCAAGGCTTCCGTCCTCGTCTGCTTTCCACGAAACTTCAAAGAGGAGTGCTTGGTTAGATGACTGAGAGTCCTTCCTAGTAGAGCGTCTTCTCACGTCTGGTGTTATCTGGCGAACATTTTCATTTTGCATAGCAGCTTTGACTTCCAGTGGATCAACGCCCACAGCGGTAAACGCACTCGTTATGAAAGCATCAGAGTTTATGAAATAGAGTGGGGTATTAATTCGAATCACCTTGACCTCATCAGCGGCTACAGCGGACGGGTAGTAAGTAAGGGACCTTAGTTGTACGCCTGAAGACTCAGTGCTTACCTGGCCAACTACAGTTACGGGTTCCCGTGTAGATGTGTAAAACACGGTCAGGAGCGAGAAGATGACACTAGCTATAAGTCCAATATCCGCGTTGAGGAAGATTGTGGCGAACACGGAGAAGACCCACACGCTACAGTCCTTCTTTGACTTACGCCAGAGAGTCGGAATTGTCAGCAGCTTACTGAACACGGGAATCAAGTTCACGATGATTATCGCGGCGAGCACACACATGGGTAGGGAGTAGAAGTAGGGACCTAGCACCATGATGACTAGAAGAACGACACAGGAGGCGAACAGTGACGCCAACACCGTCTTCCCGCCCATACTGTCTTGGACGAAACTCGCACTCACTGACCCCGCGGCTATATAGCCGGAAAAGAACCCGCAGATAATGAAGCTCAGTCCACTAGCCATCATCTCCTGGTCGGCGTCTACAGAATAACCGTTTTTCAGACCCATCGTTTTCGCAACTGACAGCGTCTGAGCGTATGCCACAACGGCAATGACTAGACCATCAGCAATGTAGCTTTGAACGAGAACAAAATCCGGAAGTTTCGGTTCTGGAATTCCTGTAGGCACGTCCTCTATCACGTCAACTCCGAAGTTCTCGTTGAAGCCTCCGTAATACGAAGCCAGCGTGCCCAAAATCAAAATGACTAATTCTATAGGCACGGGGACTGGGAGTCGATGTCTGAACTTTTCGTTGATAAACTTTTTCACAGGAAAGGTCAAGGCGATGCAACACAAAGTTATGATCAGTGAAGCCACATTGGTATCCGGTATCTTTGCACAGAGTTCAATCCACGTTCGGATAAGTTTAAAGAGTCCTTTGTAGCGATACACAGATATGCCAAGGACACTCGTGAACTGGCTGGTGAGCACATGGGTGGACAAACCTATGGTGTAGCCTGTGATGAGAGAGTTGGACATAAGACGCGTTATTCGGCTCAGACCGATACGAGACGCTGCTATGAAAATCAAACCGGCCACAACCGAAATACTACTGGCGAATTCCATCTTTCTCTCATCTGACAATGTCAAAGAATTCCTGTCCTCCGATGTCAAATTCCCCAGTGTGTCGGCAGAAGTGGCGTTACTGTCAGGCTGCTCGCTCTCGTGAGCATACTTGTCCAACACATCCGCCATCATCAGACTCAAAATGGCAATACAGCCCCATGACACTTGCCGGCCCGTCCCGAAAAGAACGTAAGAGATTGAGGCAAAGAAGGCGACGTACAGTCCCACGATAGGAGGCAGAGTGGACAAGGCGGCGAAGGCCATCCCCTGGGGTACCATGATGATACCTGTGGTCAGCCCCGCAGCCACATCGTTGGGAATGTATGTCTTCAGTTTGTAGCTTCGCAAAGTGTTCACGATAGGGACCAGACTCAAGATGTAGCCTTTCACGTCGCAAGAGGCGCCCCATTCCGCAACAACAGATTTTAATTTGGTCACTGGAGATTTCTGCTCCTCAGGGTAGTGGACTTTACTTTCAAAGTCAACGAGGTTTTCTACTTTTCGTGGCATGCTCAAAGTTGATTTAGGGCCGTCTCAGGGCTGAATCTGTGAGAGAAAACAAAGGAATACGCTATTATAAATCTTTACAGGTTACCCCCCCCCCTAAAAAAAAACAAAAAAACAACCCAACCCCCCAAAAAACAAACAAACAAACAAACAACAACAACAAAAAACACCAAACAAACAACAAAACAGCAACAAACAACAACAACCCCCCCAAAAAAAACAAGAACAAAAACAAAAAAGAAAACCCATTAAACAACAACAACAGCAGCAACAACAACAACAACAACAACAACAGCAACAAAAAGGAATACAATATTCATGTGACATTGAGCGTAGGATAGACAGTGAGAAAGGAAAAATTTATTATTTTGCTATACTTTCAGTATTATCTTTTCTCTGAACTGATCTGCACACCGTAAATTTATTGCCACTCAGCGTTTTGGGTTACCCTGATTTGGGTGTTCAAATCGTGTGTTTTTGAATCGGAAATTTTGAGTATATACCCATTCAGAGTTATACTAAAACAATTTCATGGCAATAGAGTCTGGTTTGAAAAAGGTAAGAACAGTATTATAGGTCGCCATTCAATTATGAAATAGAGATAGGTTCTGTAGAACACGAGAGCCAGTCGGGCCACGTGAAATTCGACACGAGAGTTAGGTAATAAATGAATTTTCATTCAACATGCTCATGATTTTTAAAATGTGTCACGATGTGGTTGAATCAGGTGCTTGTCAATTTTTGGGTACTAGATTTAGGATTTATTGGTATCCCCTTAAAGCTTGTTTATTTGTCTATATTTCGATGAAAAAAAACCCTTTTATCATAAATACGACTTATTGAAGATGTGGTTGCCTGGTTTCAGAAGTAAAACTAGGTAGAAAATGACCACCAAAGTTTGGTGCCTTCCAAAGCTTGAGAGTCATTTTAAACTGTAACTTTACATGGTTTTTTTTTGGCCTTTAATCAACAATTTTCAGTAACTTCTGTACATAAATTTTAATGTGTTTTTAAATGGATATGAAACGTGTTGAGCCAAAAAAAAACAAACAAAAGAAAATTCTTAAAAAATTGCCCATCGTCCAGAAAAATGCTGGTTTCTTTATTTTCATCACGCTGTCTCACAAATAATTTATTTCTTAGAACAAAGTGTACGGGTCTATTTGTTCCTGTTGCCGAGGCCCTGTCTAAATCGAACTTTTGGAGAAAAATGTATGAAGATAAAGGAAAAGGGACATGAGGAACTGTAAGCACTATCGTACCTCATTGTGGAATGATTCTTCCCGTCTACAGCTGAAGAGATGCCGGCACTAAGCGATATAATTCAAACACCAAACGATTGTGATGACTGAGAAAGTCGGCGGTCACAATGCCTCCTCTTTCCAAATAATTTGCTACCAGGAACTTCTCGCTTCGCTCCTTCATCAGGTGAGAGTAATGGGAATGTAAAAACTTAAAGGACCTGTCGCATCTTTTTTTCTGATGTAGGTCCTTTTATGCTCCCATTGACACAGTTTAGATAATTTAGGAGAACAGATTAGACCCTGTCTGTCAAGGCCAACACGGGCTGAGGGGGATAACGGTCTAGCAAAAAGACCGATATACTAAATACACATTTTAATTCCCCCATACTGGCCTGCACGTCGTGCATGGCAAACAGCAATGTGTCGTGTTTGTAAAAGTATCTGTACTGGTGTGACAATTCAACGCTTATGTGACCTAAGAATTATTTTACTCATATGCATGCGTATTATAATAGTAGGCCTATACTTGCCATTGCAGCACATACACATTTCTCAATGGGGCAAATAAACATGATTATAAAATCATTAAAATGTATTAGTTTCTTTTGTAATTTGGTTGCCTTTCTTACGCACAGTCTTTCTAATTCTACTCACATGTATAACTGAGTGTGTATTCCAGCAGGAGATCAAAGACGCGACTTGTTCTTTAAGCCGACAAAGGCAGATACTCCAATTCGTCAGATCTCGGACAATTGATTCGTTTTGTTTTCGTTACGCGTAACCATCACGAGGGCTTTCATTTTGAAAAGAGCATGACGTTGCATTCAAATAACTTCACTGTCTGATCTCTGGCGGGAATGTTCCTACACAAAAAGAATAGATTGTTGTTTAGAGTTTGAAAACTGTCCCATGTTATGACATAAGGACTCAAACAGAGATGAAAAGAAAATGAGCGGAACGGTTTTCCTCGAAAAAAAAAACATACCAAAAAACAAACAAACTGTAGCTCCGTCAGAAACCGTTCGTCGTCTGGCTCCGTCCTCACGTCGTACACTGACCATGCAATTATGAAAAGCGTGCTGAATTCACAACAGTGTTTCACATGGGGTTCATGACATAGAACGTTAGAAGAATATCAGATATCGATGTATAGTAGGCTTTATTACTGTACTCCAGGCTCCCCTCCCCCCTTCACCCTTTTTGGGTTTTGGCCATTTGTTTTTTATTTTGTTGGATTTGGATTTTTTAAAGAACGCAGCGAAGTATCCATTCGAACAACCCAGTATCATAATAACACGTTATCTGACATATTCCTTAATTGGTGCATACGACATTATACAGTTATTACCTTTTTAAGAGTCGCCAATGCCGTGCAAAGTAATAGACACCTTTAAAGAAAAAAAATCCTACAAACAAAAACAATACCCCCCCCCCCCCCACACAATGCTGCGCGTTTTTTTTTAAAGTCATGGAACGGGCTGTGTAAGTTTTAACAAGGCACGTAGATGGGATATGACGTAACAAACAGAATGATGCTGTCTCGATTCTTGTGGAAGTGATGAATATTATACTAGAATCTAGTATTAGACAACACTTTGGACTTTTCAGCCTCGATCACATTATGAAATTGACGAGATAGATAGATAGATAGATAGATAGATAGATAGATAGATAGATAGATAGATAGATAAATAGATAGATAGATAGATAGACAGATAGACAGATAGACAGATAGATAGATAAGCTGAAAAAGAGAGAAAGAGAGAATTATATTTTTCATAGCCACGATGTAGACATTATCTATAATAGGCCTAACAATATACAACAATATATATAATGTAAGGCCTATATAGAACGAGGTATGATACGTTATTAGCCTACTTGTGTTATTCCTGCCAGTTCTGTCAGGTTCTATTCGACCCGGGCAAAATTGATAAGACTCACCCCCCACTCTCCTTTCCACCGTACCCAAGCACACAAAAGAACAACAAATAGCTAACGGTCTAGGCTATGTTGATGAATTCTTTTTTAAAAAACACAATAAAATGAAGAACAAAACAACCCCCCCCCCAAAAAAAAAAGAAAATACAATAGTATTTTTTTTCAACCAAAGAAAGATTTCCCCCCCATATTATATCAAAGCGTATAATACTATATTGGCCTGTACCAACATTAAAGTTGTCCCGGGTTTCGGCTCTCAATTTTCAGTCAGTGTTTAAGTATGAACGACTTTTTAATTTCTAAACTCTAATTAATTCTTTTAAATAAACATGATAGTATTTGTATCGGAATAAAAATATGTCTTTATGATTTATGACGTCTAAATTTATAGTTATGCCTAAGTTGTTGTTGTATTTCTCACCCCCCCCCCCCCCCCCCCACACACACACACACACTCCTCCCCGAATGGTTAGTAATAACCTGACTACTAATTCTTGCAGCGCACTTAATCATGGGTTAAATTACTTTTAGCGGGTGTTGCTAGTGATTTCAGGCTCCTGGCAAGCTCGACTGTGTGAGGTCAGAGGGAGGTTCCCCCAGGCCAGGCTGACACATTGTGCTAACACTGCATGCGCTGACGACGCCGGTGAATTTTAATAGTTTTTCTAGAATTTGATATTTACGAAGGTAAGATGTTCTTTCAACCTTACAATCTAACATTTGTTACTTCCAATACTCCATGCTCGTGATTTGTCATCGTTTCACAATGTTTCTTATTCTATTCAGACTTTTTGTCATTGTCTTGCAGCTGATCTGTGCTACTGTGTACTGTGTAGACTTTAGCGGAGAGTCAGAGATCTGTCGTTGTATGCTAGCTAGGCCTAGTCTATCATGCAGGCCTAGATTCTAGATCAATGTCGTGTATTGCCTCACTCCCTCTCCAAAGTCGAGTGCCTCTGGCTAAATTCGTTTTGTCCCCTGTGTGTTACGGTTGCTTAAGAAGACATAACAAATAATGTCATTGCTTTCAGATCTTCTGGAGTCTAGCTCCGTCTGTTAGACTTGGAAGGACTCTTCGGACTTCCTTTCCGTTCGTCTGGCTGTGTAGAACGAGGAGTAGAAATGGGTTGCAGTCCCCATCCTTCAAATCCCATCTTCAAGCCCCCTTCTGCTCACAACATTTGATTTAATTCTACTTAATTTTGTTTAAAGATCAACAAGTGCCTTTAAGCCAATATGAAATTTCACAAAACTATAGCGATGAAATATTCCCTTTTCAATATGGATATGAACAGGAGGAGTGTCCTGGTCCTGGGATGATTCATCCTACTAATGACTGAAACATGACAACTAGAGTCTAGATCTATGCTGGATAACACACCTTCTATATCTCTCATCAGTCCTCAGAAAAAGAACTTAAAACATTTTGTTTAATAATAATATTGATAGCATTTGTATAGCGCAAGTCCCCGCTCTACAGCAAGCTCATCATGCGCTTCACAATCTAGATTAGATCTATAGTCTATAGGCCCTATTATACCCAGTAGACCTGAGGGTGATCTTGTAGTTCCGTTCGTTAAAGTCCACGATCCATTTGTAATTGTTTACATCCAGAGATGAAATCCAGAAGTCTTGAAGACCAAATACTATTTGAATTAGGCTACACAAAGAGCAGGGATGCAACCTAACTGCATAACATCAAATTAGGATAAAATTCAGGGGGGCATGCCCCCCTGAACCCCCCCACCTCCATATTTTTATAGGTCAGGGGGGCAAGCCCCCTGAAACCCCCCTACTCTTGACTTTAACGAGCGAAACTACAAAATTGCCGACCTGAGAACATTCTGAAACAACCTCAACTTCCTGTGAAGTAGGGGTGTGCAGTGCAAGCAGCCATTATAGGCGCTGAAACACTAACGTACTGAAAAGATCTTTCGCTGTCTATGGCCAGACCCATTCCCACCTGGGTGAAATGAGGAAAATTCGTGTAAAGTGCCTTTCCCAAGGACACAACGTCGGGTCAGTGGCTTGAACCCCCGAACCCGCAACCACTAGACTACCCACGATAAATAGCACATCTTAATAAAGGAATCTTTTCATTGTTTGAAGTTACTTCTGTAGTTTGGCCATTTGATCACTCACACTGACTGGTCAGGTTGACATGCGATTAAACGTAGGACGCAAATTATTTTTAGGTAAGGCGGCCGTTTTGTGTGACGCCAGACGTGACCACCCCTCCGATCATGTGACATGTAAATATAGCCAATGGGATGGCACGACGCTTTGGTGCGAAGTTTTTCCAGGAATAGTCTCTTTTATAAGGTAGATCTAGAGGAAATGTTCAAAGAATGAATTCAATAGACGCTGTGAACCGGAAAATTAGGAAGCTCAAACCAGTCAATGTCTCAATAAAGGAAATTGTTGACATTCGTACGGTGTCAATACTGGAATTCCGAAATGTTATTAACATACCGGAAATATATGTCATTCTATGCTGTACCTCCACGGCCTTCTTAAAATAGTCAGTGGGTATCTCAGATGACGTTAGATTACTAAAATTAGCAGCCAATCAGAAAGATGCGTCTTCTACGTTTAACGGCATGTGTCAGGTTGACTGATTGTTGTTCAAAAGGAAGTTTGCCATTTATATACTTAAAAAGCTATGTCATTGCGCTTCTAGCTAACTCTACTCTAAACTCTTTCCCCAATCTGCAAATGCCTCCTCTAGTTTGCATCATGCTGTGACTGGGGTGACCAACCCTTTGTTCAACCCTTTGCCCTCACCTCTTGTTGAGTGGATCTTTTGTTGTTTGTCTTCAGAGTAATTTAATCATTACATTTTGTTTCTCTTGATCTTTCTGTAGGCCTGTTGGTTCCACACCCAAAGAAATTCAAAATGGCACAAAACGGTTCTGACGCCAAAAGGCCTAAGCTGGCTGATGAGCTGGCAATGTTTGATGAAGTCTTCCCAATGTTGATGAATGATCTGGAGAAACACGGTGTACGAGATCCCGAAACTTCTGGTGCGGTTGCTTGGTTTAAAAGGGTATGTTGTCTCAGTGTTTCTTATGCTTCTAAATATGTTGAAAGTGTTGCTGTTTGGTTTTTGAGTAATTTGTCGCTTTATATCTTGTGAGTGAACTTTGACATCTGCAGTGTTATAATTATACAATAGGTGTGAGAAACTGACTGGCAGGGTCATAGTTGCCCACCTCCTGAATGATCTGTCAGATTATTTGGAGGAGGCTATAAAAACATAGTTCAATGCCATGGCAAAAATTGAAAGTTATTCAGAGTTACTTTGTTTAGAGTGATACCACTACAAGTTGAAATACTACAACACCTTTTTTTAAAAAAATGTAGGTGTTTTTTAAGCACATTTTAGATTATTTAGGAAGCGGGCAGCCAACCTGGTTTGAGAAGGATACATCATACAAGCAGAAGATCGAGATGCTAAAAATTTTCTTTCAACTCGAGAATTGAACTTGGAGTCTCCTGTGTACAACAGTGAAGCAACTAATTGCTGCACCACAGCCGCTGGTACATTGTGGAAGATCCCACGGAAGAAAATCTGAAGATTATTTGGGTGTGTTTAGATCGGGTATGGAGTTTGTAAGTTTTTCTTTTTAATAATAGTTCATTTTTGTGTTCTGAAATTTCTGAGCCTATTGTCAAGTGGTTACACATACACTGCTTTTGAACCCAGAATTAATGTGTCTTGGGATGGACCTAACTGTTCTCTGCACAAGTGAGGGTTTAGACCTGTGGGTTCTTTTTTAAAAGCGTCTTCCTTGTCTGTGTTTTCGCTCTTCATTTGTGTAGCTTTGGACACGGATTGTTTCAATGCATTTCTTTTTGTGCTTGATTTTTCATATAAGTTCCTGAACTTTTGAGACATTAAGTGTTAGCTAGTGAAGTGAGGAGTGTAGAACAATAAATTATAATGAATGCTGTTTTGTTTTAATGAATTTTCCAGGCAGCACTTTACAATGTGCCACACGGAAAGAAGAATCGAGGAATTTCAGTTGTGCAGACATACAGACACCTTGTGGAAGATCCCACTGAAGAAAACCTGAAGATTGCTCGGGTATTAGGATGGGGCGTGGAGTTCGTAAGTTTTTCTTTTTATATTATTTTAGATGTTAAATGTTCTTTGCCCAAAGGGCGAGTGCGTTGTCTTAGAATGAAATTTTGAGGTCTGCTTGTTTTGTCTGAGATTATTGTTAGAGTTATATAGACCTCGAGGCTGACTTTGTTCTCTATTTCTTTTCTCTTTATTTTGTGTTGATATAAACTGTGCTGTGATACAAAATGGCTATCCTGATACAGACTAAGTGTCTATCGAAGTCTCTTTTTATTACTTTTTATTTATCTGATTGAATCTTAAATCCCTGCAGCCTCTTCTGGAGTTGCCTGGAAAATATTGTTGTCGTAAAATGTAGCTGCTCTGTCTCCTCTGTCTCTGTCTGTCTGTCTCTCCCCCCTCCCCTCTTTCTCTCTCTCCCCCCTCCCCTCTCTCTCTCTCTCTCTCTCTCTCTCTCTCTCTCTCTCTCTCTCTCTCTCTCTCTCTCTCTCTCTCTCTCTCTCTCTCTCTCTCTCTCTCTCTCTCTCTCCCTCCCTCTCTGCCCCCCTCTCATAATTTAAAAAAAAAGTCATTTTTGTATATTTTGCCATGGCCTAATCATAATTTGTCACGATCTTAATCCACACTGGATATATCTTGGGATTCAAATTTGTTTTCTCTGTTTGCAATATAATCTCTGCGTGAATGGAAATGCAAAGCGTTTTAAATTTTTTAACACCTGTCATGTATCATAGTATGTGCGCAGTAGAAATTTGCTGAGTGAGCAGAAGCTGAAGTGAGGTACAAATTTTCCTCTCCAAGCATCCGATCATGTTGTCCAGTAATAATGAATCCCTCTCCTCTTATTTTTGTCGAATCGACTCTGTTTGATTCATTCACACACACTGAACTAAAGGAAGATTGTTTTTTTGCCCTTCATGTGGACGCCCATGGTTCGCACGCTTCGCAGTGAAGTTTGTATAGAGAACAAAGAATGGGGGCTGTGACCGTGCATGGTCTAGGATGTTGATAAATTACAATTCAAGCTTATAGATTCAAAAAACTGTTCTGTGACCTAATCATATTTCTCCCCATAATGACATGCAATATTTTCCCGTCACCTGAGATGTGTGGTAACTCGATCTCTAGATTAGACTGGCTGATCACAGTGATCCGTCAATGAGGGCTGATACTTCTGGTTAATGATATATTCAAATGAGCTCTTTAATGGGACAAATTATTCATTTCTTCTTTATTGATTGCTCAGTGTTGGCCCCCAGTTAGCTTAAATATTGATTCTTAAGTAGATCTGTAGAATAAAATTTATGTAGAAGGTTGAGGTATTGACTTTCAGCATTGCGACCTTCTCTACATGGACAAAGACACTTGGAAAAAAACTTCTTGCATGCAAAGTGTGCATATTCACTCATTCATGCATGCATGCATACTCACAGAGACAGATGTAAGCACATGCTTATCATAGTCAAAGATGCAAAAATTAAATCTTCTTACACCGAAACTGAAAGATGAAGCAAAATAGCTGTTGCTTCGTAACAAAATTTTCTTTGCTAGACAGTTTAGCCGCTGCCTTTTGCTGTACAGTTCACATTCATAATTATCCGTCAACTTGGGTCTGGTCTAGCTTTCCACCTCAAGAATATAATGCTGCCCATTCACTATTACATCTACATGATCGCTCATTTACTTTCAACTCTTTGTATACACATGTACTTCCCTATTGGAGAAATCCCAGCTCTGAATGGCTATTAGAGCAAGCTTATATTATGCTGACTCTTAAAAGGCACTACAGAATTTCAAAATGAAATATACTAGTTAAAAATTGGAAATATAATCGAAAAGTTAGAAACTGTCTGTTTTTTTTTTTTTAGTATTTGTTCTTGCTCGTCCCCCAGTCGTCCCAAAGAAATAGAAAGAAAAGTATACAGCACTATATTTATACAATGTGTGAAGCACTGTTAACTTCGGAGACAAGATGCAAATTCATTTCCTCATTAAGGTCATGGGTTGTGAATCATACCAATCTTATTTTAGGAGTTGTACGTGTCATCAATAGATTTTTGAAAATGACAGTCTTTAATATCTTGGATAAGGTTCCGTGCATGGCAGAATAGGACTCACTGGATACAAGCTCTCTAAAGCATGTTCAAAGTTTTGACATTTACATGATAACAGGGTGTGTATCTCCAGCAAAAAGAATGAATATTGTTTTTTTCCTTTCCTCCACAGTTGCAAGCGTATTTCCTGGTTGCTGATGACATTATGGACCAGTCTATTACTCGCCGAGGTCAGCCGTGCTGGTATAAACAGGTGATGGACATTTGTTTTGTAACTGCCGAAAAAAAGCATTTCTTCCTGACCGGAGGAAGCCATCCTATTCCCCTTTGTCTGGTCTGATCCTGACCTGCCAAACACTCTGATGATAAAATCGGAGCTCTCCGATTTTCTTTTGCCTCTTGAAGAACCCTGATCACATTTGCATAAAATCCGATTTTTTCCTTGAATTCCCTTTCTGTCAGGTCATGCGGGCATGCGGGTTATCGTAAATGACAAAAGAAATGCATATTTTTATTTTCGTTTGTTTTCAATATTTGTGTGACTTATCATAAATTTCTTGGAAATGCACATTTTTATTTGTGGGTATAGTATTTGCAATACACGTTTATTTGCCACGGATGATTTGTTACATAGTTATGATATGTATATTTTTTTAGGAAATTAATTTTTTTGGAGGATTTTGAGGAATACTTACAGCCCCTAGTGCCAGGTAATACTGGAGTCCTTCACTTCTCAGGTCAAGCTAATACTGAATGTGTCCTTTAGTTTTTGCAGACATTAAAACCAAATTCTCTCTCTATATATATTAATTTCTTTTAAGGAATAGAAGATTGCATGTAATATATTTTTCAGAAACAATTGGATAGAGAATGGTAAAAACATGGAACTAGGTTTTAAGTGGGCGGCTGTCTCCCTATGACGGAAATGTATGGGACTGGACCTGGGGGAAATGAGAACTCTTGAAGGAAATGTACGTGCCAATGGCTGTAAGGGTTACCTTCAAGGGTTTGTGTGCTTATGTGTTTATAACTCCTACCCTTTACATGTTTATAACTCCTACTCTTTACCTGTTTATAACTCCTACTCTTTACCTTGTTAATAACTCCTACTCTTTACATGTTTATAACTCCTACTCTTTACCTGTTTATAACTCCCACTCTCATGGTCTGGTTTACAGGAGGACGTCTCTCTCACGGCCATCAACGATTCCTTCTTCCTGGAGAGCACTATCTATCAGATGCTGAAAAAATACATCAGAGAACAACCCTATTATGTCAATGTGTTGGAACTGTTTTTGGAGGTGAGTGTCGAGCATTTCTCCTTGTTTCTTCTGATATGTGCTGGGCGTGCTGCTAGTTGAGTCTCGTATGGGTGGTGTATGGGTGGTGGGAGCTCAGTTGTGGCTTGTTCCATGAGTTTCTTTTCAGAGTAGAACATGTGTTACTATTTTTCTTATGAGTCCCCATGAAATGTAACTGATATGCTTTTTCCTTTTAAACATTTACATTACTTCTTCTCCTCCCCCTTCAATGTTAGATCGGTTAATGTTAGATAATTCCTGACTGTCATGAGGATGGCCCTAGTTCAAGTCTCAAAGTAAAATTGTTTGAAGAGTTTAACAAGGCTGGCTTAGCAGGACTCAAGATGTTTTGAGAAGAAACAGACAAACAAATGAAGGCATCGGATAACTGCGTGTCGAAGCAAGAATCTAATACATCGAGAGAGAACAGATCAAATAGTTTGGACATGCTGTGAGAGTGGGGTCACAACAGCCAGCCTCAAAGGCCTACAATATGGGATTCGATGGCTTCAAAGCAAGAGGAAGTTCAAGAAAAAGATGGATTGGCGGAGTCAAAGAGACCCTCCAAAGGAACGATACAATTATCCAAAAGGCAACATACCTTGCCAGTGTCTGAAAATTGCATCTCCCCTTGACACCTCGTGGTACAGGAGGACAGAAAGTTGAAAGTAAGGCGAGACTGGGTACTCCTTGTGATTTGACTTGTTGGAAAAGAATTTTCAGTAAGAGGTTCCACCTTCAGAGCAAACCTTACTATGCTGATATATGTGTTAAATGTATACTGAGCCTTCTCTTTTAAATGATGAGACTTCATCATCCATTGCTCAAAATTGTCTATGGGTGGTTGGCGGGTGCTCTGGTGTGGTTTGCTTCAACTTTCCTATCGAACAACTACCGTTTTTATCTCCCCTCCTTCTTTTTTGTGTTTGTTACTCTCTTGTAACGCCTCTATTCTTCGGCACGTATATGACATTATTGTGTTGCAAGTGCCGTAAAACACTTACTAAAACAAACAAAACTGACTGGTTTAGTTGCTAGGATGAACTTGAATTTGTACTGAATATCGTCCACAGGTGAATTATCAGACGGTGACTGGCCAGTGTTTGGACATGACCACTGCTCTCCCAGAGGGAAATGTCGACTTCACACAGTTCACCATGGAGAGGTACAGCGCTATCGTCAAGTGGAAAACAGCTTTCTACTCCTTCTACCTCCCTGTAGCTTTAGCTATGCACATGGTGAGCTTTTCTTTGAATTTTTTTCTACCTATCAATTTAATCTCTCTCTCTCTTGTTTCAACAGTCCTTTTATCGTTTCAAAGCTGTTCTGTCTGCAGTTGATTCTGATTGTTTCAACTAGGCCCAGGATGGTTTTTCAACCATTCTGCTAAACAGTTGTGTACGCCGTCTGGGATATACCCTTTTCCTTTGGAGAAAGAAACAGAGCAGTAATTTGTAGGTGGCACTACATAGAGATAGGAGAGCCTGCAGCTGTTGATTCCTAGGGTTGACTAAAAAAAAAAAGGGAAAGTTGCCTGTGCCTGGATGGGTCAGTGACAATAGCTGTCTTCATCAATAACAAAACCTTAAGACTGGAAGAACTGCTGGTCTGAATGCCTTTTATAGTGCTTTGAATATATCTTCTCCAACAGAGGTAGGGTACCATACTGGTCCTTAAAACGAGCCGTTTTTCCAAAAAATCAGATCCACTACCCTCTATATTATCAAACGACAGACAGCAAGGATTGAACCCAGCTATGGGAAGTAATCATGAATATGACTTTCCACTGAACAGCTTCATGATTATTGCCCTTCTCTTGCAGCACTTTCCTTTTTTTATCGCTGTTCATTGACGTGATATTAACATTAGACTGAATATTATTAACTCAGCAATTATCCTGGATTGTATTCTTTATTTTCACGCTAAATATTCTGAACATTAGACTGCTGATTGCCGGTTTTCCTTCTCCTACCAGCATTTAAAGAAATACACCCAGTACCACACACGACCTTCAAAAATGGGTGGAAATTGGAATGAAAGTATACCCTTGTGTAATAAGCAAGGTTGTGTTATAAACAAGTATATATGGTGCATATATAGATTGTCGATATATGTGTTTGTTGTGAGGGGGTGCTCCTGTCTGAGGAACAAATACTCTATCCCTTAATGATATTTGTCTCCTAAAGTGTTTTTATAGCAATGGATTTGAAGTATCTAGAGACTCTTTCTGATAGCTGAGTAAGCTTAGAATAATGCTGTTGTAGCCTTTTCATTTCTATTTAATATTGGGAGTTGGAGAACGCCACCAGCAGCTTCTTTTTTTACTATTTGCCTGTTGTATTGGTCAACCTTGCCTTGCCACAGTGAAGTGATTGTTATTGTGTTGGTGTGCCACCCATGAACTTTAACAAACATTTTCTACTCCAGGCTGGAATATCAGACGATGATTCCCACAGCAGAGCTAAGAACATTCTGCTACAGATGGGACACTTTTTCCAAGTTCAGGTATGTTAAAAACTGTTCTGTACATTCTGTCTTTCACACTTTTCTCAATTACGACCCATTTGGTCAAGCTGTCTTAGTTGTTGTTATTTTTCAAAATTTGGTTTCCTCTTCTATCCAAAAAAATGCATGGCTCTTAAAACTAATTAAAACATGGTAAAAATCAAGTGCAAATTGGTTGAGGAAAAACAATCATGTTAGTGTTGAAAATTGAAAAAAAACTTTACTTTTAGAAATATGAGAAAATGTATGACTGATGTCTCTTTCAAATCAGTTATCAAGGAAGTAAAAAAAAGATAATTGAATATGGGCTCAGCTACTTTTTCTCTGAGAAAAGTAGCTATAAAAGCAGTTTCAAAACATACTGGGTCTAGCTAGATAATATAATATTTTGGGCTCTAGTGTATAACAAGGGAGTGCAACGTTAAATGCAGGTCCGTGAATGAAATTACTGTCAAAGCCTTAAGCTGGAAATTGCAAGGGAAGAGAAAGAGAGGAAGGTCTAATATTACTCTGAGAAGAAGCTTAGATCTAAAAGAGAAAGAATTTTAAACCTCTTAAAAGTGGTAAAAGTGAGTGCTGACTATAAAAAGGTTGACAAGCACTGGTTTAGCAGAACTTTTCGTTACATTGGATACACACACATTTGTTTTTCTGTTCTCCCGACTGAAAATGCATACTTAGCTGGCAATCAGCGAAGGCAAAATTTGTGTGAAGATGGCAGTTTGGACCAAATCGGTCCTTGGGCACTGATAATGTGTCAAGGAATGAGCTGGCCTGTCAAAAGAAGTATTGTGAAGACTATGAGTCTTTTTCAAAAGGATGTAACGATATAGTTTATAATTAGTTATTTTGTTATCAATTGTTATTCATGTCAAAGTCAAACATCTCCCTGTAAGTGTTAATAAAGTTGTCATTTCTATTCTAAAAATGGCTTTGAATGTTGTTATTGTCTGCAGTGTTAAGCTTTGATGAAAATATTTAGTGTGTGATACTTTAAGGCTTTTATACGTGTCTAAAAATATTAAGTAAGTAAATATTGTTTCTTTGTGTTCCCCCCAGGATGACTACCTGGACTGCTATGGCAAACCTGAAGTCATTGGCAAAATCGGCACAGACATTGAGGACAACAAGTGTGGCTGGCTCATCGTGAAAGCGCTGGAGATTGCATCCAAGGAGCAAATTGAAATCCTGAAGGTGATTTTTCTTTTTTTTTTGTATCTTGTTTATTTTCTGTGTTTTTTATTTCTTTCCCCACCAACCACCACCCAGGGTAAAATAAAACTGAAAATTTGTTGTCTCTTTAGTGTTTTGTGGTTTACAATGCAGCTTCTTTGTATCATACCTTAGCATAATATTGAGGCAGTATTGTGAAATATGGATTTGTATATATTCATCGAAAAGTATTCTTTTGTGTCTTTCATACATAATAGCCTCTATATAAATGGTCAGCTTCATATTTGGTTGAAGTTGACTTTGAAACAAATATGTCTAGGTAAGATGAAAAACCCAAGTATTAACTCCGTCTGATTAGAATGTTGATTTTTGATTTGATCCCATTTAGGCAATCCAGAATTGTTCAAAATGATGTCTAACATACCAAAGCATCCCTGTTACAGAGTTCCACTACTTTTGGTGTTTGGAAATGGGGAAGGCTTCTATGGCTTTGGAAGAAGTGACGATTGAACATGGGGAAAAAACAGTATTATGGTTAGGATTTAGGAATTGAAATGGGAGGCAATTGTGCGACAATAGCATAGTAGACATGTATAGATTGTTCCCCTTGCTGTTACCTCCAGGATATTCTGTGTAGTGTCATACCTTTGACAGGTCCGGAACTGATTTTTTTAAGATGTTGGTCACACTGTTGGCTCAGTTGGTATCATGCTTGACCGCATCGCAGACAACTTTGGTTTTACCTATAAGTTCTTGAACTTATGTTTGTTTTGACAGTTTTCTTGGCCCCTCACTCTCTTGACTAAGCTATACAAATTAAAGATGGATGTTAACCCTTTGAACCCTAAATCTTGAAATTTCTCAAATCTCTATCACTGGACATTTTTCACAAATTTCATCAAAGTTCACAGTGTTTTGGGGGCACATACACAAAAAGACTGAGGGGAAGAACATGGAGAAATAAGCACATCTGTTCACTCCCTTGTGTACCTGATTCCAAGGTGGAAATATTGTACGTCGACAAACAAGAAATAAAGAAAGTACTTTTGATGAACTACACAACTCAGGGTAGTCCGTGTCCCAGTGAACCGGCCTTACGGTATACAGCAAAATATTGCCCAAGCTGGTTTACTTGCCCAACGGGTTCAAAGGGTGAATCATATTGGAGGTGGATGTTAGGTCGAAAGTTTGGTCCATCACAGGTTTTGAATACATACCGATGATGTCCTGACCTAAATTGATGTGTGCTCAGGGTTTTTGCATGGCCTACAGCCATTTCTAGTATTAAAGTTTGCACTGCTTGTTAAATGGAATATTCTCCAATAGTGATCCTCTATTCTCTTGGTTTTTTTGTTTTGTTTCCCTCTTCAGGCAAACTATGCTCGCAAAGATGAATTGTGTGTGCAGAAAGTGAAGGCAGTGTACAAAGAACTGGATCTGGAAGGAGTTTATCGCAAGTACGAAGATGACAGCTACAGAGACCTTATCAAACTCATCAACGAAACCAGTGGAAACCTGCCAAAGGACATATTTATCGACTTTGCCAAGAAAATATTTAAAAGAGAGAAGTAAAGAACTGTTGCTTGTGATGGCCATGTTTGTGAAAATGAGCTACAGACAGTTGTAAAATGCGAATGAAAGTTTGGCAGATGTAATCAGAGATTGATTTGAGTGATATAGATGTTATATGGATTTTTGCCTTTGTGAAGTTCATGGTTTGTTTGTGTTGAGGCTGTTTGTTTGTCTTGAGGCCAGTTAAAATGGAGTACATATTGCTGAGGGTGCAGCTCTGAGATGGCCTTTGTATTTTTGCATAGGCTGATGTTTGTATTTTTTCTCACGCAAATTTTTATCCTTTAAGTGTAGAGTTTTTTCTTTGTAAGAAAGAGTTTATTCTATGTAGGAGTTGATGTCAACCTAGGAATGTGACCCAACATCATTAGTGTTGATTTTTATTCCGTGTTCGGCAATTTGTGCTATGTTTTAACTGGTCACTAGAGAAACTCTACTTTGACAGTTGAAAAAATAATGTAATCTGTGAGGACTGCATTGACAAATATGTCATTTTAGTACCCAAGTGACAGAAGTTTGTGAGTTAATTGCTTTGACATAATTTGATCTCTGATTTCTATTTTGTTTCCTCAAAGCAATATGAGTACTCAGTATTTATGCCATGGACCAAGTTTTCTCTTAGGGAAAAGCTATTTTTTCCCCCTCTTCTCCGACACTCATTTTTTTCTTTGCATTTCGGGGTAAGGACTCTCAAAAGGAAGGGTAGTCAGATCTAGTTTTGACGACATTCAGTGCCATATGGTTGTATGCGAGGAGTAAAGGTCAGGTGCAGTAGTAAAGAGGTTATTTTAATACACATTATGACATTTGGATCTGAAATACAATGTGTCTAGTCCCGACGGATATGAATGAAAGCCACATCGTGTGAGATGTGTGTGCTCTCCCTGTCTGGGCATGCATTCTCCTTTGTCTTGTTCTTCTTGTTAGTGTAACATTCTTGTGCTGATTTGTAATTCTGAATCTAAAGAGTGCATGTCATCAATGTTTTCATTGTTCTTGTTGTAGTTTTGGTATGTAGATTATGTTGTCAAGTATGGTATACGTCATGACTGACAGGAATACTTTAACAATGGTGCTAACTTAAGGGGGGAGAGGGGTGAGGGTGGGAGGCATTCCATTACAGCTGATGGTTCTGAAAGTTTTGTAATGATTTCTAATGCTTTTCCTATGTCATTAGTGAGCAGTGAAAGAAATAGTCTGTTTTGTTATTTCTGACCTGTCTGATCTATTAATTGCCATTTTATGAATAGTACTCTTGATTTGACTTTATCCCCCCTGGGGCTGTGCCACTGACTGAAGTGTCTTTAGGCCATTCACAAAGGGGGGACATTTACTTGTTCATGCAGTAGAATTGTAAATGGGCTGATTTATCAATGTCATGCTCATACCTCTGCCTGAACTGCAACCGGGAACTGCTGCTTTTTCTTTCCTAATCCTTACTATCGTCATTTTTCCTCTACTTCTTTTGTATCTTTGTCACTCTCTTGTGACCCGCTCTTTCCGGGGTGCCTTGATAGTCGAAGCAGACTTTGTGCTGTTGAAGCTGGGGAGGTGAGCAGAGTAAGTCTGATTCTCTGTAAGGACTTCTCTGTTGACATCCACCCCTTGGCGCTCATATGACCTTATGCAGTTGCGAGTGCCGTAAAACCTCTACTAAAACTAAACTGTGACTTTACTTTTATTTGTGTCGGTGTGTGTTGTCATGATTACTGAAAAGTATCCTGTTCTTAGTGAATATTGTTTGACGTTATTGATCTAAAAAACAAAATCTAGTGCCGTAGCTTTGGCCTCCAAAAAGTGTTGTGTGCGGAAGGGAGTATAGATCAGATATGTAATGAAGTTTTAATGGCCGCAATTCAACATTTTTTTTTGTAGATGTTGAAGTTTGGAAGGTAAGCGGATAGTGGGAAGCCTTCACGCTCGATTCTCCTACTTGACACCAGTCTGATGGAGCAGTTATCCCAACATGAGCAAGAAGAAAAGTAATTTGTTCCCTGCATAGTTATATAACCTCTAACTTCTTACTGTGAGGTTCAGAATAGTAAGTTGTTGTGATGATGCATTCAGCACTGAAGTTTTTTATCTTCTACTCAGAGGCTCATGTGTAGTTTTGACTCTTACACATCATTTGTCCTAGTGAAAAAGGTCATTTAGTTTAAATGCACATTGTCTATTTAAATCCATGAAAGTTTGAAAAGTTATTGAATCTAGGGAAATCTAAAATATTGGAGAAAAAAAAAAACTTTCAAGAAGTTGCACTAATCAGAGTGAGACTTAGATACTGACAATAAGTCTGGTTTTATAACATAATGTCTATGTGCATTGTTTGAGAACGAAGACCCTGTGTCATGATGACAGTCACAATGATAAAAGTGATCACATGATATGATCTGAGCTGTTGGAAGTTAGATTTTAATGACGTGTGGTTTTATTTTGTGCAAATAATCAAATTTCTTTTTTGTTTGAATGTTCCTCCGGTTAAAATATCTCGTCAGTTCTGTTGTTTGTCCAATCTAATGTTTTTTGAGTATTGGTTGTTGGCACCTCTTAGAGCTTTTTGTTTTTATTGTGTTTCGTTTTTTGCTGGAGTGAGGTATTTCATGTGTTTACTTATGGAGAGCGGAGAGCTTGTTTGTGCGTGAAAGAGTTTATTTGGCACATGTGCGGGTCACTTGTGATATGTAGTGAAGTTATTGTCCATCTTGCGTGAATATTGTTTATTATGTAAGTGAACACTTTAAGAGATGCACAACTATTTCACATTCTATGACAAACTCAGTCTGAGATTTCGACTCACAGTATGAGACCTTTCTACCTTTTTTTGGTCAATTTTTAGCTTATTTTGCATTATCTTTTGTTTTACCGCCCACATTCTTTTCTTATTTTATTTCCCTCTGTTGCTTATGTCCGCCATCTCGCTTTGTCTGTGAACTTGGGTTGTTTTGGGAGTTTTCAAGTCTCTCCACCTGACTCAGTTCTATCAGAGATGAATGTTCAGTGGTCCTGCCTCTTAAATTATCATATCTTGTTAAAACGGGGGCCAGTTCTTATCTGGACCATTGTTTTGTCAGATCTCTTCATGAGTGTTCCTCTGGACAAAACAGATAGGCTGAAGCTCAGCGCATAGTGTTGTTTCTGCGCAAAGAATCAGAAGGATATTATACTTGTTGGAAGCATTTAGAATTTTATTCTTAAGTGAAACATTTTTTACTTACGCGTCTTATGGCTGTTTTTCTTCTCCTTAGTCTATGGCTACCAAGTACAATAAATCTATTTGATATTTGATTTACAATAGATGTGTTGCTGATAAAGATGTCTGTAATTTTCATGGTTTTCTGCAGACAATAACAGTGTGATCATTTACTGTTCTTGGCTCAAATAAATTGAAAATGTTATATATATGTATATCAGACTTTTGTTTGTTTGTTTGTTTGGTTTTTTTACCTTTGGGAATGCTGACCTGATATCATTATCTCTGAGTCTCATTTTTCTGTTGAAATGGTTGCTGAGATATAGAAGAATGACATCAGTGGACAGTTTAGGACAACAGGAGCAAGAACATGAGTGGACAGGTTGGGAATATACCAAAGACATCAGTGGACAGATTAAGTATTCTGTAAGGACCCCAGTGGACATGGTGGGACTCAAAACTAGAACTGAAAACTTTTCTGGGGATACACGCAGTTTCCCCACACTCAAAAGCAAATCTCGCAGGAAGAAAGGAAAGCAACACTGGCTCCGCCCCGAAGAAAAATGAAATAAAATCTGATTTAGAAACTGCAAATATCGAAAATTACAAGCGACAGTGCCGTCAGCATCCTGGAAAATTAACCAACGACACCCAACAACGCACAGAAACAAATTTAAACGGGGAAAAATACATGTAATCAACAAACTGGAGAGAGCAGGATGCTTAAAAGAGGGGAGAACAAGGAGGGGGGGGGGGGGATACACAGACTACAAACCACTTCAAAGTGATGACTACTACCTATTGTCTGTCCTAGTATGACTCTTATACTTTTACGGTCACACCTCGTTTTATCGCCGAGTGGGTGGTTGTCGGGTGCTCTGGTGTGGTTTGCTCCTTCTTTTCTTCTATCAAACATCTATCATCCTGATCTTTCCTCTTCCTTTTTTGTGTTTGTTACCGTTTTGTGACACCTCGAATCTTCGGTACTTATATGATCGGTGTTGCAATTTCCGTAAGACTGTTGCTAAAAAAAAAAACGAGATAAAACTTCTCGACTCATGCCAAAGGACACTGGCGTCAGTGGTGTAGCAGATAGGCGCTTCGCCGTCGCTCACACAGGACGGGGGCTCTCGTGACCTAGAGGTTAAGGCTTAAGGTGTTAGCCTCTCATTCAAAGGTCCTGGGTTCGAATCCGGGTAGCGACGGAACATTTTTCTTCTGTGAATTTGTCTCCTTTCACCTCTTTTCTCGCTCTCACTCTCTAGCACTAGCAATGCTCTGTCGTCTGCTTTCGTCTCCATTTTCTGCCCCCCCCCACCCCCTCACCTCCTTTCTCAGTCTTTCTACTGTTACTCCCTGGCTCCTTCTTACTGCTGTCTTTCAGCCACTCCCTTGATCGTCTGGTAGAAAAGATCTACACCTAGCCTTCTCGGGCAAGGGCGAAAAATCTCGGAGGTCCCGTGTGCAAGTTGCGCACGTTAAAGATTTCAAAATATCCTACCAACTGAAAATGCCTAATGTGTCCCGCCCGCTCATACGACCGTATACAGTTGCAAGCACCGTAAAACACTTACCCCCACACAGCTCGAGTCCTGTGTGGGGAGAAGTTTATTGAGTCTCGTATCTCGGTCTTTCTACTGAGCCCACCTCTTAAACGATCTAAATTGTGTGGATGTGGGCGTAAAATACCTGCAGTCCAGCATGATATCGGCTTAACTTACGGATCTCCGGAACAAGGTTTGATGGGTGTTTAAAACAAATTTTTTTAGGGTTGTAAAAATTTTAAGATAAGTGTCGTTTACGCTCTCATTGACACAAATTAGATTATTTAACTTAAGGTAGACTTCCGACCCTGCCCGCCAGGGCCACCCCGATTTGAGAGGAATAAAACGTTCTAGCAGAAAGACAGAGATACTCGATAGAAATCCCCCCC